TAAAAATAAGTGGGTCAAATTCGCTCCTAGGTGAGCAGCCAACAGGATCGTGCAAATATATTAAATACTCGGTCATCAAGATAGGTTTGTCCCAGTGAGCTAAAAGAAAATAGGAAAATAGGATCTGTTTAAATATTAAATATTAAAAATTGTAAAGTATTAAATACTTGCCCATCAATACTCGGCGAGTAAGGTATTGCAGTTGAGATTTATTTAGAAAAAAATGAAATAATGAATATCAACTACCTTCCCATTGCCAATGGAGCTAAAAGAGTCATTTAGTTTTGGGTACACAATGGACTAAATCAAAATGCAACATTAAACATCCCTTGTTTTTCAATTTCTGTGAAGTTTTGGTAGTAAATGCAGCAATGCATCTAGAGTCTAAGAGAAACAGTCTCCTCTTTACAGGGGGTGTCCATCTTGACCACAGACCCCAACGGAATTTGGATTTATAATGGGTTGTTGTAATTAATATCAACTACATGAAAAAAACGTGGGAAGACGGAAGGACCAAAAAAAGGAAAATAGGAAGGACAATGTGGGACAAACAGAGTATTATGTTGTCCTGGCAAACAATGATGCCACCATTCACCTTAACCAACTAGGACATGTGCCCTAGACTCATGGAACAATAATTGGAAATAGGACCAAATGTTAGTGGTGTATAAGATTGCCATGAATTCATAGGATATGCCAGTGGGGGGCTAACAATTACTCCTTACAGATTATGAATTAGTTTTTTTTAATTAAGACACAATCTCACCCTTTGCCCATGAAAAAACCAGGACTTGGGCTTAACGGTAAAAATATTGACTTGGGTTTCATTCGTTCTTTTGAGGTTTGGCTCTCACTGTTTCTTTCACAATTGGCCATTGTTCTCTGAATTCACCCAACTGCTTTTCTTTCTTTGCCAGGCAATAGAAGAGAGAGGATTAAACATTTCATGAATGCGGCCACGGCTATACTATATGATCATTTGCAAAAAGGGCATAAAGGTGGAGAAGGTATCCAGACCCGAATTCACATAGCCTTTTTCTTTGAAGAAAGAAAAAAAGAATCTTCTTGCTTTTGTAGAAACTGAAATTGTTCCCCATGTCTGTAGCTAGAATCTTTTTATATGTCAGCTTAGTATCCTTTTCTTCATTTCTGGTGTACATATATATATATATATATATATATATATATATATATATATATATATATATAAACAGTTGATTTGATGAATTTCTTGGGTCGTTGACAGTGTCTGTCGTTCTTTCTTCCTGTTTGGCTTTGTTTGTACTTTAGGGATGGCAGCGGGTCGGTCGGTTAGGCTATCCGATACCCCGTACTTAACGAGGGAGGTTTAGATTTTTTCCAGTGTCATTAGCTTCGAATCGTACTAATTTAATTGGCAATGTCTCTTGATATCCACTGCTAGGAGTACTTGAGATTAAGCATGTCTGTAAATCATACAGTAATTATTCTTAAATTTTTTGTTTATAGTTGTGAAATAAACATTTTTACTTGAGTAATTACTAATTACATACTAGTGGTGGTAGGGGGACTTCTTGTGAGGGCCTATAAGTCTTCTTACACCCCTTTCCAAAGAGTCAATAGGATTTTATGTAATGTTTGGTCTTTCATCGTTGTTGTCAGAAGTCGAATTCGAGTATTTTTCCCTTTTGCACCATCTATTTACCAGCCAAGCTATGCCTCTGACGTGCTTGTAATTTTTTTTTGAAATACAATCTTAATAATCTATACAAAGTTGTGAGGCTATTATGAACACTGTTCCCGCCCAAAATTTTGGGCCGGGTCACTGAAAATGGGCTGCGTGTTAATGGGCTTCTTCTTTCGGTTTTGAACCTACCAATGAAACCTATCATTTTAGCCGTGTGCACTGCCATTTGTTAAATCAAATCTCTATTTTTAAGGTGTAAGTCTAATTTATGTCTCATTCCACATTTAATTATTAGATTGAAGAAATCTTTAAAGTGCTTGGACATTAAATGCACTAGATTGAAGTGTGTAATTGGCCCGGGTATTTATACCAAGGGATCTTTTAAAAATCTTTTTTTTTGCTTTTTTAGAGACCCGCATGTCTTTCACATTAATAAGACGTGTTCGACAAGGCCACACTCATCATGCTCTTTTATTTGCATAGGCACGATTTTTTTTACACCATATGCAGATAGTATTTATTACAAAGATTGAAGAAATCTTACTTTTTCACTTTGTAGAGACACATGTATCAATTAATAATTGTAACACAGAGCACAGAGTGACCCAATTATTCTACTCCTTCCGTCCTATAATGATCTTCCCGATTCGCAAAACGAAGAAAAATCTCAAGCTTTTTCAATCTGTTTTATTTAAATATTGGTATAAATATGGATGAACACAAAAAAAAAAGTAAAAAAACATAGAGAGTGAAAGATCCGAATAAATAAATATTGAAATAAAAATACTAACTTAGATGTGCATATCAGAAGAAAATCACTTGAAATTTGAGCGTGTTTGATTCACGCATCTCGGATTCGTGAAAGACATTAACCTCAACCAAGGGACATGTATCTCCAGCGATAAGCAACATCGAGAGATCAATGGCATGTGATCTTTCTAGTGTTTAGAGAGAGAAAGATGTAAATTAGACCTATATAGGGTGACGTCTCGGTAAGTTAAGTTGAATGTATAGTTAGGTTTAGAAATTTGGTTGGGCTGAGAGCACTGGAAATACGTATGAAGCCCCAAGGCTTCAAACTCTTTCTCTCTGCCACGTCAGTTTTAACTTACACCAAAAATTTACTGGAAATGGGTTTGAAGCCCCGGGGCTTTAAACTGGGGCTTCAAACCTTCATTTTTTACAATTTTAAATATACATCTTCTAAATTTAAATTCATAAATTTAAATTAATTTATTATTTAAATTAATCGTAGTAAGAATAGTGCATTAAAAAAATTACATTCATTAAAAAAAATATTACATTCATAAAAAAATACATTCATTAAAAAAATATTACATAAAAAACAACACTACAAAGAAATCACTAATTATTCGAGCGACTAAAGATATGTTCAATCAAATCTGCCGTTAGTGCATTGTGAATCTCTCGGCTTCGAATTTCTTGGCGGTTTCTTCGTTTCTTTTCTTCGGTGATTTCTTCGTACATAGGCACCTCCTCATCCGGGTTGTATTGACAAATCGCAGTCTCGTTATCCTCTATGATCATATTATGAAGAATAATACATGCGTACATGATATTCCTCATTTTTGTTTGAGAATAACATTTCGTCGGGTCCGTCGTCGGGCGGATTCGGCTTCTTCTTGGCCATCTTCCCACCATTGAATCCAATTCGTGGCGAAACAACGAAAAAAGAAAGCTCTTTTTTCATCGTCGGAAGATGAACCCATTTTTAAAATATATTTTATAAATATTTATAATAAATAATAAATATTGTAGAGAGAATATAAGTAGGGATTTTATAGGTTTTTTTAAAAATGTATATTTACTATTTTTACAATCTAACTATTTTTACTATTTGACCGCGCATGGCGCGATACAATTTCTAGTAGCTAATAAGGCCGCGAGGGTATGATTAATAAAGGTAGAGTAATGCTAGGAGTACACCAAAAGGTGTACACCACCCTATTTTCCTCCACACATTTTTATTTGATTTTCATTTATTTTTTTTCCCAATTTTTTTGCCTTTTTTAGTGGACAAGGAGGAGGTGTGGGATATTTGGGGTACACCTTTGGTGTATCCCTAGCATTTTTCATAAGGAGGTACATGAATTTCAAATTAAGTTTTGTTATGAATGTGAAGAATTTGACTCAAATCCAAATTCAAAATTTTTAAGTTCCCCAAACATGGAATTTGAGCCAAATCCCGATTTGAAATCCAAATCAATGTTCCCAAACATACAATAAAGGTATTCTTGAAAACATATCACCGATTTAAGGTAGTGTTTGACAACTAGCATTTCATTTCAATTCATGCATTTCAATTCCAAAATTTGAAATCCTGAATTTCAAATGACAATGAGAGGTGCATAGATTTCAAATTAAGTTTTGTTTTGAATGTAAAGAATTTGATTGAAATCTAAATTCCAAATGCTTAAGTTTCCCAAACATGGAATTTAAGCCAAATCTGGATTTGAAATCCAAATCCATGTTTCCAAACATACCATAATATTCTTTTACTAAAAGCTATTTCACCTTATTTAACAATCCAATTAAATACAAATAGAGGGAATAATTTTCAAAAAATTAACATCAAACTAATACTCGTATTTAACTTCGTAGTTTTAGTGTTAACGTATGAGTAATAAATCTGCAGTACATAAAATTTTTGATTGGTTTGTAATATTCAGAAAGATAAGAAGGAGAGATGTTTTTATTCTTTTCCTAGGCAAAATGAAAAAAAAATTCATCTTGTCTTTTTTTATTTTATTTTCGTTTTTCATTTTACTCTATCCGTCCTAAAAAGAATATTACGGAGTACAACTTATTATTCATAAATTATAGAAATTTTTGTCGATTTATATTTTTCATTAATTACTCGGTATTTAACAAAATATCTTTGTCACATCTTATTTTGTAGAATTTCTAATGTAAATTTTAAATACGTAAATTTAATTTTTATTTCTATACAAAGTTTTAAATAAAATGAATCAAAAAGGAGTATAAAATTTTACGTTTTTTGTGTAATATTTTGGAGTGACAAGTTATTATCTAACTATATACAATGGTAGGATGGGTTTTTGTACGGTGTTCCCGCCCAATTGTTTGGGCCGAGTCATTGCTAATTGGGCTGGGTGTGATGAGCTTAGAGTAAATGGGGCTATGAGGTCTATTAGTGACAGGCTATTAAAGTGTACCCGTATAGTTTACTCCGTAATCCATTAAAGTGTACGGAGTGGCGGAGAGCCATATCCAATCAAACGCACCTGCCTCAAGTCCAATTGCATTTATTATGAAGATTTAACAGATCTTTCTTTTTGCCTTTTCAGAGCCGCGTGCACAACCTTCTCGGGTAAGCTGCTCGCCTTTTTTTCTAGGGTTTTGTCTGCTCTTCGAGCTCTAATGTCGCTGCTCATCGCTCGCGAGAGACCAGCTTCTTCCGCATTTCTTTTTTATTACTTCGTACAAAAATGGAGGAATAATAATAGATTAATTTTTCAGATGGTTGTTGTCCGTCTTCGAACTTAGCCACGACGGTAACAATTCGATTTTGTTGGGACAACGATAATGGCAGCGTGGTTGGTTGGGTATTTACACCATTTCAAGTTCAGTTTAATTTTCCATCGAAAACTATATTTGTAATTATAGATTTGGATCTTGGATGTCGTTCTTAGGAGAGGTGGATAGAGCTGGAGAACAATACAGCTTCAACCCAGCTTATCAGGCCGGGGCTTCAATGGAAAGTAGAGAATGTGAGATGAAGGTAATTCCCTATTCTTCATTATTTTTTCAATTTCTTTTGTATTAACATTAAGATTCTTAGGTTTTCTTGAAATTTGGACCCAAATTGAAAGGAGATTAGAGGCACAGCTCAAACCTGTAACCTGCTAGAAGGTTGCCGATGAGACACACTATTCACCCTTTTTATTTATTTACTTATTATTTATTTATTTTACTCTCTTTTAATTTAGTTTTTCAAATTTACACCTGATGTGGAGTTGCAAATTTGCTAAATGTGTGTATGAGGCTGTTTTTAGGGGTATGAATATAGATATTTATGTTACTTAGTTTAGGGATGTTGGAGACGCTATTATAAAGATTAATAGTCGAAGATTACTTTTGTTACTCGGGCTTTGTGTTGCTATGGTATTTGGACAGCAAGAAATGGGGTTTAAGTGGCCTTTTTGTTCTGTACTAGCTAGAGAACATTGTTTTTGGTTGAGGTTTGGTGAATAAATTATGTGCATTTAGATATCAGTTTCCAAATTCATAAATTATTGAAATGAAAATGTAGTAAGTTTAATTAAAAAAAGGTTAAATTTTAATTTCATCTCCTTTGTTGTTGTAGGCTCTTAGTCAAAATTCTCAAAGCGTAGCCTCCTCTTTTTTTCCCACTTCAGAAAGTTCTTTTTTAAGGTATGGAATTAAGTTTTCTTATAAAAAATTCTTACAGTTTGTGGTTGTGATACTATGTTCCTACCGTTGTGACCCGAAAATAGTTTCACAAGACCAATAGGAGTCATGTTCCATCTAATGCAGTAGAGAGGTTTTGGGTAGGGGGCAGATGTGGGGCATATCATAATCTTTCTCCAGCAGATTAGAGATGTTTTGGCTCAAGGATTGTTGAGGTTAGGTTCTATCATCTTATGAGCTTTTAATGCCATGTTTTTGAGTATATATTCCCAATTATAATACGCTCTCATATGCTGAGATTGCCAAATTGGATAGATTTTTAGTAGGTGATAGGAAGTAGTATGATTTTTTGAAGAATTGTTGTTCATTCCAGTCACACTACTTTATGTTCTTCCAGACTCTTCTTTTAGCTATGCTTTGCGTATGCACACTTTTTAACTCTGAGTACCAAAATCATCTTTAGTTTAAAAGGACAAAGCTTCAATCGACTATTCAATGTGAAGCTACTTTCCATACCTTCGATTCCCTTCTCCAATGGAACCGGCAATGAGATTAACCGATCTGGGACTTCGACTAGACTTAGCACAGATGAATATGGTTTTAGACTGCCCAGATTCAAATTTTGCACCTTAAGTGAAGTAACCAGATATTTAAGATTCAGGTTCAAAGAGGTAANTTATTTTCAAATATTAGTAAATAAATTATTGATAGAATTTCTTAATGTGCATCGCATAAGATTCCCATTATGGCTCTCACCATTGTAAAAATAGCTCTCACCGTAAAATCATCATTGTCTTCATGAAGCCAACGGTAGTGCTTCATTAATTTGGGTTGTGTTATACAATTCCTGCATAAATGCAGCCACCAATCTCCATTAATTTGGTTTGCTTAGGTTTTTATGCTCTTAAGAAGTTAAAGAAGCTGTTGTGCAGCAGAGAATAAAAAAAAGATGATGGAAAATAATGAAGAAGTAGCAGGAAAAGGAGAGGTCAAGAGGAATTTTGATTGTGCCTCTTTTCAATTTGACATGCATAGTTGCTTGAAAGCGTTGAAGGAGGGATCTGCACTTTTCTAGAGGCAAATAAGTAATTCGGTTTCTAGGCATCTCATGTAAGAGATTTAACTTCCTCCATATTAAGAAGACTAGAAGAGATTTAACTTCCTCCATATTAAGTAATTCGGTTTTTGTGCCACACGTATGAATCTAAAAACACTTCATTCTCATGGAAACATGATTTCAATCTAAATGAGCTCCAGGTGTTTGGCTTGAATTGTAACATATTTAATTAAAAGTAATGGCTATTGTTACAGTTGGTTTTGCTAATTTTTCTTATTGGAAGTTTCAGGTTAACAACTAAAAGAGATGAAAAGAGTGTTTTCTCTGCTGATTTTTCAGAAATGTTTCATTTAGACATTATATAAAAAGGTACTTCATCTGTGGTACTAATTTAAAGATATTATTTTCTTAGCATTTTCATGTTCAATATATGCTCCCTTTACATATTGTCATAGGCTGGAAGTTTTCATTTTAGGCTTTTTAGCTATCTTAAGTAAAGAATACTTTGAAAATCATTTTTTGCCAAAATGATTTATTGAGGGACCATGCTACATTTACACCAAAAATTGTACCCCATTTGTACACCGCAGTTATACACAAACATTCTGATGGTTTACACTGACACAAATGTTGGTGTGTTAACAAAAATTTACACGGACACAAAGTGTTGGTGCGTTAACAAAAATTAGTTTTACACCAACACAATGTTGGTGCAAAACTGCGGGGTACAAAGTGAGGTACAAAAGGTTGGGGTATTGAGTTGTAGTGTGTATCAAATTGGCAATAAGCCTATGGGTGCGCTACTATATCCACTCCATTTGGTACTGATTTGAGTTCTCATTCCAGGAAGAAAGAAAAGGAAAAGCCATTCAATGTGCACAGTGCAGAAAACAGCTATTTTTAAATTAATAAAACAGTCGTCGTAATGTAACTTGGCAACAGTTCAAAACCTGGAGCTGGCAGAAGACATGTACCTTGCTCAGATCCCTCCAGCTAACAATTTACAAGGGATGATAATTGTGAATGGGGGAGAGATGGGTTATGGTTAAACAGCTTGCATCACCAGAAACAAATACTTCTATTTCTGCAGATCAATCTTGGATAAACAAAATAAGTACCTTTGTTTATATGGTTTCTTGCATGCTTAGTTTATGTGTAAATAGATACAATGGAATTCTTCTCATATATGATTTCATACGTTTGTTCTTTTTTTTTCTTATCTTCTATTATTAATTTCGAACGGTTGATATCAATCAATCATTTACACATAGAAAAATGCTAGTGCTACACCAAAAGGTGTACCCCATTTGTCCCCCACCCCCTCCATAACCATACAATAAGGCAAGAGAATTAAAAAAAAATTAGATAAATAAAAATAAAATTAAATTTAGTGGTGGAGAAAGGGGTGGGGGACAAATGGGGTACACCAAGGTGTACCCCTAACATTGATCTTACACATACTCTGGACATGAATTTCATTTGAAATTCTCTTTTAAATACTTCACTTTTGATTTTGCATTTGCCCGAATTTGAGTGAGATCTTTTTGAAGTTTTTTCTATAGAGTAGGAAACTTATAAACCATCTATAATGTATTCGTGATTGAACAAGTTCTTTTTAAGAATGCTAACTTTTTTGTGGGGTGCAATTGAAGGGGTGGGGGGGTTTACGGGAGTGTCTTGGGGTAAGAATCATCAAGAATATACTTTTGTGCATCTGTATATCTAATGAATTATTCCGTATAATATTCCCTTCATTTATCTTTTTCTAGAAATGCACAACAGTTAGTAATTATTATTTTTATTTCAATAATTTTTTTATATGTGGTAATAACACTTTTACATAAATTTGTAACTTCATTTTCTGGCCGTGCAACGCACGGGTACGAGTCTATTAATTTTCAAAAGACTTAAAAACAATAAATTACTGCACAAGCAACCCTTGGTCAAACCTCTTCCGATGTAAAAAAAATGAAGTCCGAAAACAGTCGCTCCCAAATACATCATCGTCGACCCTATCATCTCCGCCGCAATCCGTCGTCGCCGGATTCCGATTCCACCTCTTCAATACCACAACTCGGCGCCCTTGTTCTGTTTGATGTGCCTCTGACGCTACGCTTGTTTTTCATCATTTGTCCGCCGCCGGGAAAAATCCACCCCAAACGAAGCCCGCGCGCGCTTATCCCGTCGTATCTCAGTCACGTTACGGAGAGTTTCCGAGGCCATTCCGATTGTTCCCGGTTCCTGCACGCGATTCCTCTCAGGTTCGGATCGTCCGTACTTCCCAGCTGTGGCTTTAGTATAGGAAGAAACTGGAACATTGATTGATACCATGTGCTGAGTTTATAGTAGCAGAATTTCTCGATTTCCTGTCATTGGTTTATTAGTCTAATTTGTTATATACTTGTGTATTTTCTGCACATATCCTTTATTAGAGTGTCTCCTCAGTATTAAATATAAAAAGATAGATCAATTGAAGTGTTGTTAGAATAGTATGAGTAATGCTAAAGCCATCAACAAATTTGCCACCGAATCGACTAACGAGAAGTTCATCTCAATAATGTAAAGAATTATTCTGCTTCTTGTTAGTGGATTCGTTGGCAAATCCGTTGCTCTTAGCATTACTCGGATAGTATACACCATCAGCATCTTAAAAGGTTTGTACTCCCTTCTGATAAGGAAGGTGAAGCAATCTATATGATTCAAGTGTCTTAAACTGATTCGTGTGGTGTGCATAGAGGCTAATTACTCTAAGATGCAAACCAGCGAAAGTCTGGATACCCAGAAAATCTGATTTGAAGTTTCTTATTGTTGCAGTTTTGATTTCTACAGGTGCTACTTGCTAGAGTTGTTGCTGTTTCTTAGCAATGGTAAGCTTTATGTTATTATACTCCCCACTTCAAATATGTGACTAGCTATAAATATACTTTCCTTACTGTGCTTGCTTTGGTTTTTGGAAGTGGTTTAGTCGGTGCTCTTTACTCCACGTGATGTTAGGATGTGTAATACATAGTTCTTTGAATATTTACGTCGTACTATTCTTCACCTTAACCGCAAGACGAAAATAAAGAATATCTTTTAGGTCCTGGAAATCTGAATTTATTACTACCTATTAATCTAAATTCAGCCGGGTTACTTTGGCTTCAAAATCATGGATATAGGAAATTCAAACAGGTTATTCTTTGCAGAAATTTAGTTGGATGACCAAGTTTTTAGTGGTTATTTGGATTTCAGTTCCAACACATCTGAGTTCTCAGCAGTAGAAGAATTCAAAAAGACTTGAGATATAAAGTTAGTAAGTTACAATGTGAGATTAGGACATTAAAAAAAAGTGACATTAGGACATTGAGATTAAGTCCCACAATTGCACACGGACAGTCTTTTTGGCCACTCTTTTCAGCATCACCAAATCCTCCTTAACTTTACAAAGATTTGTTTGTTGGACGAAAATAATGAAATGCAATGTTGAAAATGGGAGATTGTGTAAGGCGAGCCAATAGGCATTTGGGGAATTGGGATTCGAGGATAGTCAAGAATCCTTTGATCTGAGCAGGAGGTGGCAATGAAAAGGAATTCCCAATGTGGGTGGCTACTGGCTAGTATGCCACTATAAGGTGTATTTCATATTTTAGGCAATCTCGGAGCAATATAACCTACAACTTACCTAACGTGAAAAAACTGAACTGTTTACATATAAATGTGTAATAGTAATGAAACCGAAGCAATGTGGATGAAGAGTTCCGCATTAAAATTTTTGAACCATGTGATATTAAGTTTCAATATTTTGCCTTAACTCTTAAGGATGTGTTCAAACAGAGTTCTCCCTCTGCTTTAGTTATATCTATTCTACTGGTATATCACTGGCATATCCAACTGGCACGTGGAGATATTCTGGAAGTAGAAATAAGCTGGAGTTTTGATATCTTTGTATTGCAGGCAGCTAGACTTATAGCACAATTGGTTGTTTTGGGTTCTGGGATAATGGTGAGGGCATTTGCTCAAGCATATCGCCAAGCACTAACAAGTAAACATCTCTCTCATGTGACTAACCCCTTTTGTGTGTGTGGGGGGTGGGGGCGTGAAACTAATAAGATCTCATTTTAGACTTTGTACTTCCATTCGTGCAACTCTACGGTCCATATTCCTTTACATCATACTAGGTAGCATTAATTTAAGGCAAATTTTATGGTTGACCTATATTCATAAGCATTTCTTTACTAAGATAATCATTTATTTTTTTTAATAAAAAAATGATAAAAAACAATTTTTAATGTGAGAAGGTCTACAAAAATGGTATGCACCCAAGGTGCACCATTGAAGCTTAAAGAGATGTAGCACACACAAGTATATCTGACGTTCATATGCTCATTGTGTGAGTTGTCATGGAAACGGACAACAGTTTTTTTCGTCTGGCATTTCTTTAAATTTTTAGGTTTGTTCTTGTATTGATTTAGTTGCTTGATTAATAACTGTAGATGCTTCCAAAACTGGTGCGGCTCAAGAAGTGGTTCAGAACGTAAAAAGAGCGGGGAAAACAATGACAGAGCTGGAGGCAAGACAAATCCTCGGTGTCGCGGAGAAATCCACTTGGGAAGACGTCTTGCAGGTCAGCCATCGTCTTCTTTTAATTCTTTGCCCAATCTCAGTCTGAATCTCACCACAGTTTTGGCACACCCAAGTGTGTTACTATGTTTCTCAAACCAATGAATCACAATACTTTTCTTTGTGTGCAGAAGTACGATAACCTGTTTGAGCAAAATGCAAAGAAGGGGAGCTTCTATCTTCAATCCAAAGTCCACCGAGCCAAAGAATGCCTAGAATCTGTTTACCCAAAGTAGTAAACCACATGGAGGGAGTACATCTTGTTTTGTATTTTTATATGTAGTGGTGCTAGAAATGCTTCTTGAGTTTTAAAGATTGTTGAAATGCATGGTCTTCCGGTAAAGACAATAACATTTTACAATTATTCTTATTAATAATTTTAATTATTGTAAAAAAAAATAATTGAGACTTTATTTTATTATGATCCAAAGGTTTATTTTCTGTGTCGTGTCGGGCCTCTAATTCCTTGGGGATGGTTCTGCTGGCTATTATATTGGGCTAGTTGATGATGTTGGAGTGAATCATGCATTTGCACTATTATCCAACCATGGTTATTATTAGTAATAAATCTACTTATATGCTGAAGATGGTACTCTAAAGATTTATACTTACATTTTGTGTCAAATTAGTGCGGGGTTGATTCCTTATATTGACACAAAATGATTGCAAAATTCTGTGATTGCACTGTCATTTTGTATCAATATAAGCTATCAAAAATGTAAGTGTAAACTTTTGAAGTACATTTTAGGTATAATCTTTGGGATACATATTGTATTATTAAACATGAGAATTGAACCTTACACGCAAGACACCCCTCCCTACCTTAAACTTAAAGGTCTACCTTATCTGTCTCACTTCCTTCAGGTTCCACCTTTCTTTTGATTCTAGCCTTGACATTGTTAAAAGACCATGCTAAACTTACACCAAAAATTGTACCCCAACTTACACCAAAGCTATACACCAACATTTTAATAGTCCACACTGACATAGAGTGTTGGTGCGTTAACAAAAATTTACATTGACACAAAGTGTTGGTGCGTTAATAAAAATTAGCATTACACCAACATAAAATGTTGATGCACACCTGCGGCGTACAAATGGGATACAAATCCTTGTGGTACAAATAGCATTATTCTATTGTTAAATGTCAGACCAGTATTTCAATGATATGAATTTTAAATAATTTTATTAAAATATCCTAAATTGAAATAGAAAAATTAAAAAAGATCAGTGGAGTTAGAAGTTTCAAGAATATGGGCATACTTTGCCGTAAAAAAGTTCACATAAGTGGTGGTGGTGAGTAAAAAATATTTCCTCAACAGTTTTTTTGTGTGATTTTTTTTTTAATGCATCCCAATGGTGAGAAAATAATTTGCTCTCAATCCCTCTATCCCACACACTCTCTATCCATAAAATTAGTGTGAAAAATTTTCCCATGGGGAGATAAAAAAAAGGGGGGGGGGGAAGATGTATGAGGGAGGAAGTAATACAGAATTTTCTTCCCCTTGGACACATAACATATGCCATTTATTAATGCCTTTTGTAATGAAGAAAAGTGCATTACCAGTTTCTACCAAATCTACATCAAAAATATGACTTCAAATGGGATCTTCACAACCTTACAGTATCAGAATTTGAGTTTCTTCTTTCTTTGAATTTGAGTGCATACACAAGTTGCAAATTTATGAATGCATCTGATTCGGGAGGCAGTTTCAAGTTTTGGGTGTTGAATGGTTTGGCGCTAAAAAAAAGCAAATGAAACATCAACAAGAATATGTGTCAATAGTTAATTCTCCGGGATCCAAATTGAAGTACTAACATGGAAGAATTTATTATGATATCAAACTTTAAAACTCCCAAACCATATTGCACTTAAACTAATTTCCCGAATTATAAACTTCACTCTCTCAAACTAATATCGCAATCTGGATATTAGAAAATCAATGGTGGGTTCACGGATTCTTCACCAAACAGGTCCGGTCACCAGTTCTGATCGCGACTCATATTCTCATGGTACAGCAATAAGAAGCACAATGAGTAGGCAGAGGTACTTACTGGCTGTCATGGTTGATAAACTTCAGGGAGTTGGAGACCAACACTGGCAGCAGATTTACCCAATACTTTTTTCATCTCATCCGACCTATCAACGGCTATATTATAAGAAAATAGCAACTCCTGTTGAATCAGTATATGCAACAATTTAGCACATCAAAGTAAAAAACATCATATACCGCTGTCAATTCTAATAAAAAACATTGTAATACAATCTTGCCGCACCAAGAAAGTATATAATCATGGGCAATCACCCAAAATTTTGAAGGGAAAATGGTCCAAAACTCCAACATCTCAACTAATGAATTCAACAAAGTTAAGCAAACTTATTTGAACCACTATTAAAAGGGGGTTTGGTGTTTTTACCCTTCATGTAATTCCTAGGAAAGTAACTCTCCCGAAAATTGCAACTTTCCCTTATTTTCGAGATATTTGATCAAAGTCAGTACCAAACGTGAGAATAACTTTTCTACCTTGCAAATTCCAAAGAAGGCTTTAAGTTTCAAGGCTAACAAACACCCTCTTAGTTCAAGTCGACGACGGGGACAGATGAGCTCAAATCTTCCATTCATCTCTACTAAGAGTACCATATTTGAAAAAGAGTCTTGCTTGTCCCATATACATCCTTTTAGTTTTGGTAAAACCATAAAATACAAATGCATTAAAGCATTTATAGTATATAACTAGTCACCTTTTATTGGCTTATTACATTGAAAAATTAGAATCTTTTGATTAAAACAAGTATGTTTGAAACACTGGTTCTTATGGGACACATGACTACCTAACAATTAATTTGAAATCACTCTTTTTTTAGCTTTAGCATGCAAAATATGTTAGGCTGTTAATTTATGTAAAAGACACAAGAAGTAACCTTTTGATGGTGAACACTATTGAGCAGCAAGGTGTAATCCTTGGCAAGCTTTAATCTATCCTGAAGAAGTGTGGAGGAAAGATCCGTCTTAGCAGCAGATTCATTGCTAATGCTCTTCCGAAATTCCTCCTTTATAAACTTGGTGAAATGGGCTTTGTGCTCTTCTTTTCCTACGTGTTTCTTCACTGCTTTCACAAGGTTTCTATATACCTCCTTCCCCATCGATTCTCTTCCTCACGACACTATTGCCTCTGAATAAATCTGCAATCCGACTACATATTAAAATATACTCCATATTTGTATTGATAATTGTGACATATGCTTGATAGGTGAGGAAACTTTGTTTCTCGTGCTATAAAGCATCTCACACCCCGTCACCACAAACACAGACCAGGCTGAGATTGGACCAAAAATGCTTACAAAAAAAAGTAAATAACAGAGAGGTTGTTTTAGTTAGACTGCATTGCTACATTTACTTCCCAAAAACTTCATAGAACATAAAAAACGAGGAGGTTCAACATTCCATTTCAGTTTTGTCCATTATATACCCAAAGCTATAACATTGTCAAAAGTGACTCTTTTAGCACCATTGGCAATAAAGAGGGGCATACAACTCTGAAGGTAATAATCCATCTGTCTAAACAAGAAATCTACAATTGATTTACAACGTTTGACTGTCAATCTGTTTAAACATTGGTATAAAATTTACTACATCAAACATTTTACAAAACAAAAGATGAAGTGACTTTCATTTTAAAAAATTTAAAATATATAAGTGAAAAAAGATATAGTTTGACCTATGTTCTTTACACTATGTTTGGTTCAAGGAATTTGAAAGGAAAAGAAAAGAAAATGGTTTTCTCTCAATTTCTTCACTAAAACGGGAGGAATTTTGTTTTCCCTTCTCTTAGTACATTTTAAATTCTTATTTTCTTTTGTTTCTGCTTTTCTTTTTTTCCCCTCTCTAATCAAACAAGAAAAATGGTTTTCCATCTCATTTTCTTTTCTTCTCCCTTTCAAATTCGTTGAACCAATCATAGTGTTAAGGAAAGGGAGGGACTAGATAATATTGAAAATTTAAATACAAATATTCTGATGCAATTGACTTAATTATTACTGATATTCAAAAAAATTGACACACATATTTAAGTAAAATTATAGAGCCAGACCAGAAAGTTGTGAATCAAAATATATAAAATCCTAAAACTGAAAAATATAAAAAAGAAAGCACATATCTTCTATACAATTATTTGAAGATCTATAGAATAGTGTTTTGGATATGGAATTTCGACCATATAAAATTTCTTGATAAAAGCAAATGCCTTCATAGAGACCGGAACATGTTTCTCTTTTGCTTTGATGTATTAGTTTTCATGTCCGAAACAACACTTATTTCATATCTAGATAACTGAAAGTCTGAATTATGACTTCTTTTTTTGGTATATCTGATAAGTGTAGGAAGGTGAAGCATGGAAAGCTGAAAATGGATAGCTGAAATACGGTAGGGTTCCAATGACACTCCCTTTTAGTGTCATTGGTTGCCACTCTCCATCCAAACCATCCATCTCATCTAATTTATCATCATAATGCTCACAATGACCCATAATTGAGAATCATGAGTAGCAAGAAATCTGGCTAAATCTTGGAGGTGGCAACAATAGCACAAAATTTGAAAAATCAGGGTTATTCAAATTTGCAACAAAAATTAACACCAAAATCGAAATGTAAGAACCGCAGAAAGCTTTTCAAATTGAAACGCCATTCGAGATGAGTTCGCACAAGACTGGAAGAAGAAACCCAAAATTAAACTAGGGTTTATACCTGAGTGGAGGTGGCGTCAGAGGTTGAGTAATCAAAATGAGACGAGAGAGGAGGGACGGATTTCAATTTTCGTTTTGGTAACTTTTATATATTCAACATTTTTTGGCGTCGGGTTGAGAACAACATTTTTGGTTTGATTTTTTTTGGTTTTTTTGTTTTTATTTAAGATTAATTAATATAGTAATTAATAATTACTCTATTCTAATAATAATGTCACATATAACAAAATAAAATTTATTATAATTATTATTTAAATAAAAATAATAATATCAGGTATGTTTTGACATTTGAAATTAATGTTATGGGAGAAAGACTAAAGTAGGACTAAAACATTGAAAATATATCAAAATAAGACTTCCATATTTTTTTTCCGAAATAAGACTTACATTACCAAACATGGTCATATACATTACCAAAAAAGTATAGTAATGTGCACATGTACACTGCCACATTACCACAATACAAAGTAACATTACAACAGTGCAAAATCTTATTTCGGGAAAAAAACATTAAAGTCCTATTTTGGTACTTTTCTCTATGTTTTAGTCCTATTTAGAGTGATTTGTATAATGTTATTTTATGACACGACGTACCTACAGCGTTTCATTGATAAAATTGATGATTTTTGCCCTTAACTCTCTCCTGCACCACACCCACCCCAGTCTTCTAGATCGCTGAATTTGGAATGCCTAATCGAAGATCTAGGGGGACAGGGAGAAGATTGGGGGTGTGTGTGTGTAATAAGAGGAATAAGAGGATTTAGAGTTTGAGGTTTTAGAACTTTCACCAATGGTTTAATGTCACAAATTAGAACAAATAGATCAACGACTCAAGTAAAATTGAAGTTGATTCAATGTCACATTCGTGGAATCGTGGATTCCTTTACAAATTAAATGCAAATTCGTGTCATATTCAATCAAACTTTATTTACTTTGTTGGCCTATTTTTATTGTCTATTTGATAAAGTAATATAATAATGTCAATTCTAGTTTTGTAGATTTTGTAATATAGTTTTTAAAGATATAATTTTTATTTTTAAATTATATATTATTTTTTATATAAAATATTTAGAAAATAGCTTCAATCAAATATTGTAATGCGTAACGGAAGATAATTTTTAGAGAGAGGGAGTATTTTTCCCCGTGGGAAACCACCCCTAGTTAAGTATAACTGGTCCGTTTGATTTCATGATTCACCTACAACATATTAACTTCACTCGATAACCAAAAGTTTACATATTAACTACATATTTTCTGATTTAATCTGATTTTAATAAGTTCTGATCTGATATTATCTGATTGGATCTGATCTGATCTTATTGGATATGATCTAATCTGGTCTGGATCTGATCTGATCTAATCTGATTGGGTGTGATCTGATCTGATTAATTATGATTTAATTTAAAATTCAAATCAATAATTTTATTTTGACTTTATAATAACGTTTGAAAATTGTAATGATAATTCATATTATAATATAATCAATATTTTTTATTTAATGATTATTTTTTAATAAAATAAAATTAGTTAATTTATATATTAGAATAATCATTCATATTATAATGTAATAATATTTTTTAATTTATGATTATTTTTTGTGAAATTAGAATATTAATTTAATATTTTAATAATTACTTCATATATACATTAGAATAAATATTTAATTTATATATACATTAAAAAGTAATTAAATTTAGATAATCAGTATATAGAAATAGTATTTTTATTAAAATATCTCATCCTTATAAAAGATCAAAACTTTAGAAACTCAAATTACAAGTAGCAATAAAAATATATTTTAAAAGTATAATTAGATTGACATTGTCAATGTATTTTAAAACTAATTTTTCCGACGTCTAATAATTAAGGATTACTTTCTTTGTTTTCTATTTAACCTGTTTCTAAAGTTTATTCTTTTTCATTTTTAAGAATAATAATAATAATAATAATAATAATAATAATAATTCTTGATGGGATATGATTTTAATAAGTTCTGATCTGATCTGATTGGATCTGATCTGATCGGATGGGATCTGATCTGATTTGATCTGATCTGATCTAATCTGATCTGGTCTGATCTGATTTTAATAAGAATAAGAAAAAATAAGTTGAACGGAACGGGGCCTAAATGTGAGATATTGACATTCGTACGTTCCAATGAGTAGTAGCTTCCTATCCTTTTCATTTTTTCTTTTCTCTTTTTTTTAAGTGGAATATACTAAGGAGAAGCTTCCGTCATGCATCAAATAAGGTTCTCGAATTTATTAAAACATCATATTTAGTTCGGAAATGATATTCATATCGATTTATAGTCGTATGGTATCAAACATAGGATTGTACACATCAAAAATTAGGTTTGTGGAAAAATCATCAAATCAGGCAGTACGTGTTACGATACCGGCGAACGGTAGTACTGCCCAGACGGTACCAGGTACTGCCTTGTACCAGATTCAGCCAGAGCCGATTTTTTTTAGCGGAAACTGGATACCGTCCCCACGGTACCTTGCTACCGTCCGCCGGTAGCTAGCTACCGTCTCACGGTATGTTGCTACCGTTACTGTGCCTGGTTCGAAATTCAACTCAGTACTTCGTCTTCATAGTGTGTAAAGTCTACATCAAGGTTTAAGTATTTCTTTATTTGTTGATGTTTCCAAAAATACACTGATTGCTTTAATGGAATAACAAAGTGAGTACTTTATATCTTTAACAATTCTATACACCACACAAACACCATATACTTTTTTATTAATAAAAAAACAAAAACTGAGTTTAGCAACAACTTTGATGTTTAGCTCGTTTTAAAACTGAGTGACCAATTCAAAATCACCAAATCAGCACACATAGGGAATCAAAAGTCTAAGTGTGTAACTTAAGCCATGAAGGAGGTGCACATTATAAACCAAGTCTCAATGTTTTATTACAAATTACTCATATGGATTTTGATGTACTAATCTTTTGTAGAGCAACGGTCACTTGAGAAAAAGAGCAGAAGCCAATCCCAATCCGAGCAAGCAGAATCGCACGACCACCATTCCTGCCTACCTGTTCGGCTTTACATGACTCCTTTGCGCGATAGAAACCGTTACTCCTCCAAACGAAACACCACATTATTCTCCTTCACGAAGCTGTGTGTTGTGTGATCAACAAGCTGCGCGTAATGAGATTTATGGGATAGTGTGAGTAACTGATAACTTCTCAATAAAGAAAACTATACCTAAGCATAGATATCACAATATTTGGAGAGAAAGATTACGGTTTTGAGTGTTGAACTGAGGCTTTACATTTGTATTGCTTAGCTCCAGATTGTAGAAGTCCATTACGTCATCTCTAAACAATGGTCCGGCATGCCATGTACCTATATTTAGCTTTATAAACTTTGAGCCTGTAATTTTAAATGCACGCACTTCATCGACAGCAGGAGGCACATAGAAATGCCCAGAATCTGATCGCCGGACATTATTAGCAACCAGTGTGCCCTCCTCCTCCTCCTTAAGCCCACTTGCATCTACGATAGATGGCTTAGCAACTCCAAGATACCAAACACGGCCCCCAATTGATCCAAGACACTGTGTTACATTGGCATGGTGTGTGATGGTCGAAAATTTCAGCGACCGGTTTTTCAGCTGCATGATGTAAAACCTGAAAATTTTGCATCATCAGTGTGATTATTCACAGGCTAACTTGGATGGCTAACAAGCAAAGCAAGAATGGTTGTAATTTGCATTCTTGAAAAACAGGAGCATAGACGCAAATAGACCCAAACATTTGGTGCATTTTCCCTTTGTAACTCAGAATTTTCATCTCATCATCTGTCTTATGATCTAGACATTAGAAAACCAAGGTTATTGTAAAGTAAAATTTGCATTGAATAGGACTAAACATTAAGTCATTTTCTAATGTAGTACTCAAACTTTTTTATTCCCTAAATAGGACTTAATAATGACTAGTGAGAAGAATAATGTCCAAGTTATGCTGGACATTTAGTTGAATAATGACTAATAGATAATGACCAAATGTCCGACATTGGTAAATAAAAACATATGGTCCTATATTGATAAGAAGTCATTATGTTTTAGTCCTATTTAAGTAAATTACTCTTGGGAGCGTCTAAAATGACACCAGTTACTTATACACCAGGTGCTTACACCAGTTTGTTTGGAGTACCTACGGTGCTCCGTTTGTAAAAATGACGGTTCCTACCCACC